TAAGTCATCTACCGAAAGATCCAGAGAATGTAGGAAACGAAAAAAGAAAGCGCAGCAGGAATTTACTGAAGAACAAGAGCAAGGTCCACGAAAAGACCAGAGGCCTGAGATATTTCGACAGATTTATATGAATGCATCTAAGGTTTTTGAAAATAATTTTCTGAAGAACGAGTTTGGATACGTGTGTGATGTTTGTGATCGATTATGGTATAAACAAGATTTAACTAAAGTAGCTCAAAGTCACATAGATGTTCTAAAAAGAGATTTTGATAATGAGATTGAGTGTCTCAAGAACTTTGAAATCTGTTCAACTTGTAGACAATCGCTTACCAAAGGAGAAATTCCAAGTCTAAGCAAAACAAATGGTTATAAATATCCTGAACATCCAAAGAAATTGCCTCCATTGGATCCCATTACTGAGCGTCTGATTTCTCCAAGACTACCTTTTATGCAAATAAGAAAATTACGATATAAAAGTGGATCATGTAAAATAATAGGACAGGTAATTAACGTACCGGTGGAGGTAGATAACATGGTAAAACAATTACCACGTCAATTAGATGATGATTATTCATTCAATGTAAGTATTAAGAAACATATTATACATAAAACATCGTATCTGAGTGGCCTTGTGAAGAAGCGAGTTGTTAAGGAATGGCTACGCTACATGGTGACAACGCTTCTGTATAAATTAAATAAAATAGAGTATATTGAACGAGATATAAACAATGTCGATGATGGACAGCGACCAAGTACAAGTTGTTCAAGAGACAACAAACAAGATGATAATGTAATTGAGACGATTGAAAGTGAGAATGATAAAGAATTGTTTTTGGGACAACAACACACAATGCTTTGGAACGAAAGTAAATACTTAGATATAGCACCCGGGCAAAATAAAAAGCCTTTAAGCATCGTCTTTGACTCGTATGCAGAAGAATTATCTTTCCCGGCAATATACTACGGACATCCACGAGTCTTTAAAGAAGGCATCAGAGTAACTCCGTTCAAAATAGCAACAAGTGAGATTAGACGTAAAGATCGACACGGAGTAACACCACAGTATATTCTTTATATGGCTGCAAAGATAATACGTTTGAGAGTTACCGAAGGACTCTATTCTACTTTCAAAGTAAACGCCACTGCTGAGAATATTACTCGACGTATGATAGAAGATAAAACGTACCTGGATGAATGTGTGGAAAAGAATATAGCCTTTTTGAAGTCTATTCCAAACTCTATGCAATATTGGAATTCACGGAAGAAAGATTTGTTTGCGATGATAAGACAACTTGGGAAACCTACAATGTTTCTAACGATGAGTGCAAACGAGATACGCTGGGCACACCTCCTAAAGACATTGTACAGACTAAATAGAGAAGGAAACGGGCAAGAACTTACAGATCCAATGAACAAATTACGAGCATTACAGAGGGCCAGCTTAGTAAATAAAGATCCAGTAATATGCTGCATTTATTTTAACAAAATTGTCGAGGTAATTATGAGAATTTTATCAGCAAAAAAATCATACAATCCCTTTGGAAAGTATAGAGTGATAGACTTCTTTAAACGCATTGAGTTCCAAAATAGAAGTAGCCCACACGCGCATATATTGCTTTGGCTAGAAAATGACCCCAAAGAAGCAATTTCGGAGAATATGAACAAAACAATATTACTAATCAGAGATTTGTGCTCAGTATCAGTCACTGATTTACCAGAAACATACGCTAATCAAGTGCACAAGCACACGTTTACATGTTTCAAAAAAAAAGACAATAAGTGTCGGTTTAATATACCCTACTGGCCTATGGATCAAACTTGCGTCTTGATACTCATCACTAAAAACGATGGTCGCAGAGAAGATTTGAAAAAGCGGGCATCTAAAATAAATGAAAAACTGAATAATAAAAGTTACGATACAATTGAAGAGTTTTTAGTTGATAATAATATGACAATGAAGTACTACTTAGATGTGATTCGAGTAAGTATACGAAGACCTACTGTTTTTTACAAAAGAAATATAAACGAATTGTGGACAAACACTTTCAATCCATGGATAGCAAGCATACTCAATTCAAATATGGACTTGCAATTCATTATTGATAAATACTCATGCGCAGCATATGTTGTTGAATATGTTAACAAAAGCAACAGAGGAGTAAGTTATCTTCAAAGACAACTTGTGGAATTACAGGGTGAAAATCCAGAACTAGATTTCATAGGATTAATGAGGAAAGTGTGTATCAATATGTTGAACACTGTTGAGATGTCTTGCCAAGAAGGAGCTTGGTACTTGTTAAGACAACCCATGTCTGAGGCGAGTAGAGAGGTAATCTTCATCCCAACCATGTGGGCTAGTGAACGTGTAAAAAGACATAAGAAGAAGAAACAGATGGACATGGAACAGATACCAAACGATTCAACAGATGTGTGGACTTTGAACGTGATACAAAAGTACGAACAAAGACCAACTCAAATAGAGGATGTATGTTTGGCAGACTATGCAGCATGGTATACAATGAACAACAGAAACTATAAAAAGAGAAAATGGGCAAGAATCCTGCGTTACTGTAATTACGAGATGTCAGATAAAATGACGGAATATAAGCGCGAGATGGTTACGTTATTCATCCCATTTAGATGTGAACATATAGAAATCACTGATCGCATGAAGTACTTGCAGCTGTTCGATGAAAGAATTGAAACTATTAAGAGTAAGTTTGGTGAATATCAAAAAGTAGATATCGAAAAACACATGGAAGAATATAAAAGGTTTTGTGAAGATCTACAGGAGGAAAGAGAGGAAATAGACGCAAGGCAAGAACTAATTTTACAATCGATGGCGACAACCAGCGCTAATAATGATGATATAAATAGTATTGAGGTGGGAAACTTGACAGCAGTAGTTAGAATACGCAAAAACGTTATGACAGCAGAGGAGTTTTGTAAGAGAATGCGCAGAACAAATCAAGAACAACGAGATTTTCTTCTGACTTTAATGAATTCATTGCTAACCGCAGATAGAACTTTTCAAGTATTTTTTACAGGAGTGGCTGGAAGTGGTAAAACTTTTACACTAAACTTAGCAAAAGAAATAACGAATAGATTTGCACAAACTCAAAACATAAAAACAAATGCATACGTAGCATGTGCATCCACAGGAAAAGCTGCAGTGGCCATAGGAGGAACTACCGTACATGCAGCGTTTAAGATAGCAATTTCGAGAAGAACTAACCCAGGATTGGCAAGAGAGACTATACAGACTTATCGGAATGCATACGCAGGAGTGAGAGTTGTAATTATTGACGAGGTAAGCATGATAGGCGCGGAGATATTAGACAAGATAAACAGTAGAATGTGCGATATCACTGGCAATTTTGACGATCCTTTTGGAAGAATGAATGTGATTTTCTGTGGTGATCTTAGACAACTGCCACCAGTTAATGCAAGAGCCATTTACAAATCGTTAAGAGACTCAATAAATGGAGCATATCTTTGGCAATCGGTCCAATTTTATGAATTGACAAGAGTAATGCGACAAAGCGATTTAGTCTTTTCAACGATACTTAATAAAATAGGAAACGGAGAGGCATTGACGGAAAACGAGACAAAGTTAATAGAGAGTCGTTTTAGAACTGTAGAGTGGTGTAACAAACATGTTTTTGGTGCAATACGCCTATTCCTTTTGCATGTCGCATTCCATATGCGTACCAAAGGGGTGAAGCAAGAAGTGAAAATTTTAAAGAGCGTTATATCCTACGTTATGAGGATATAATTAAGTTCAGGGAGGCAAGAAAAGTGCGAAAATGTCGTTTATTTAACGATTGGACGATTAAATAAAAAATAGGTTTAAAAGGGTAACAACCCTAAAAATTGACATATTTGAGTCGTTCAAAGGCTTAATTAACATCAATAGTTTAACTCTACGAACAAGGATCCATCGCGATATAAACAGCGATATATCAATATTTATTAACTTTCATTTTCAACGGTGTGACAAATCAACTTTGTTGATAAGGGTCCGATTGAGTCGCAAAGCATCTTGTTTTGTTTTTTTTAATCTATGGAAGCCACCCATATACATTTTAAGCAATATACTTCATTATTATAAGTTTTTATGAATTTTCGTAACAATAAGTCGAAACTCGAAATACGAGTCGGAGCGAGATATAAACGTGTTATTTATGTTTAAAAGGGTTAACTAAACGTGCCCATATACCTTTTTATTCAAAATTTCAATTATTTTAATATTCGATACTTTTTGACGTAATTGTTAATTAATCGTAATTATTAGTACTCGATGCAATATTTGTGTTCAGTTTGACTTAAATAAGCGTAAAAAATAAGATTTAACGCGAAAATATGAATATTTTGAATAAACATATGTTTCTGCAAAATTTGACAAATATCTTAAATAACAATAGATTGATCATTATTTTGGTACATTCATGTATAATTGACTAAAACTAAATAACATATGTAATTTTCTTCGCGAAAACAACGATAATTAACAATGACGCATATTCGTGAGAAAAAGCAACACCCTTACGTAATTCGATACTTTTGCAAAATATTATTTAATATTTGTGTTTCTGAACATTAAATAAGGCCAATAAACTTTATCCGAAGCGAATCGGACGTATATTGAAGAAGTTCATTTTCTAAACGTTAACTCGAAGATTTTTTATTTTCGATAATTTTATGAACTAAATAGCATAAAACGCAATAGATTAGCGAGATATTAAAGGTTCTAAAGTAAAAAATGCAAATGGTTCATATTTGAAAAAATTTATTGACATAGATAGGTGACGTTCATCGATTTTCGTACCATTAGTACGAGATTAATTCCATTGATATATTCGTTTATTAAATAACTGGAAAAGTTATTTGGCAATATTTTGAAAGCAGCTGCGGCATCGTAGAAATGTTTCACCTGAAATTTTTGAAAAATGGAAAATTTTGTAATAGCGTTGAATATTTGATTTTTATGCATGAATATTTTGATTTTATACTTACCTGATGATTCCTATGAAGATCCAGCATAGATCCAGCGGCGAAGTCGCGTACCTGAAAATAAAAGAGAAATTAGTATAAAAATCTTGAAATTGATGGCGATGCGTTATAAAACATGTAATAAGCAGGGACTTAATGAAATCGATTGTGAATCATGAAATTTTGATAGAATAGCGCATTTGCTTTAAAGTAACTTGTAATTTTGAAATTAGGGTGCGTGATTGTTATTAATAAGATAAAGGATCGCGAGTCATGGAAATCTTGTAGATTTTAATTTCTTTATTAAGTTATGCATAAGTCGTAGAATCTTAATCATATAGCTAAAATTCTCAAATTGTTTAAATATTCATCAACTTAAATTCAATAGTTTTCATAATATTGTAACGGCCTGACTTTATCGAACGCGGACTGGTTTACAGGATCGGGAGTTCGATGAAAGGCCCAGAGACAGTAATCAATTTGCCATGTGACAGCAACATACACTTTATTCAAAACTATAATATGAACTATAATATACAATACTCGGGATTCGGTATTACATACAAACTGGACGCGGTAGATTACAGTGGCCGGTAGTGCCGGTGCAACGCAACGCGGTATACGAAATATCGGGACTCGAGTCTTCGCCTCGAGATGCGGTACGCAGAGGCGGGAATAACGCAGCGCGGTATTTGACAGAACGGAGTCCGTCGCGGTATAAAGGGATAAGACGATACGGAACGCGGTATATTACATACGGAATGCGGCTACAGATAGACGATAACGGAACGCGGTATATTACATGCGGAACGCGGCTACAGATATCAAATATGCTATATGAACCGAATTAATACATAAAATAAAGATATAAGACGACAACGGAACGCGGTCTATTACATACGGAACGCGGCTACCGATATCGGACATGCTATACGAACCGAATTAGATATTCTATATGAATCATCAGCAGTGCCGGTGTGCCAAAATGCTGAAACTAGTTAATACAACGAAGCGCGGTATTTTGCATCAGAGGATGGTGGAATCCCGGGGTCACGGTCGTGAGAACCCTCGCTGCGAGGCCGAGCACGCTCGACCCCACGGTGCCGTGGCCGTCGGGGTAAGTGTCAGGGAGTTCGGGAACACTCTGAGAACCCTCAGTCGAGAACCAAAACTCTGGACCTCGTTGTACGTGTTGCCCTAGGATTCGGAAGGTAGCTTCGTCGGGAATAGCGGAGAGCCGTGGTGAAGACGAAGTGTCTCTTCGTCGAGCGCGCCGGCTTTTTATACCGCTCGGCGCGGTGAGCTTGGCAAGAGGGAGGCCGATCGTCAGGCGACGGTGCGGTGGTGGGAGCGGCGCGATCCCGCGTGCTCGCTTCGGCGGGGATCGGCTCGCTTCGGCGCTCGTCGGCGTCGTGCGGGAAGGCACCGGTGCGGCGGATTGCCCGCGCACACGGTGCGTTTCAAGCGTTTAAAAAATGTGGGCGCACCGCGCCCTGTCCTCGTCCGACGGAGAATCGGTCGGGCGGCTCCCGGCGGGTGGTAGCCGGGGACGATGCCTTGTTGTAAGGGGCGCATCGTTACAATATTATTTTGATGTGCAGGAAATTTCCCGTTAGCATGTTTTGATCAAATAGAAAGTTATTTACATCGAAAGGAATGTTTCGGTTGACCAAAAGTGAGAAAAATAGCTATATGATAGAGAGATAAGGAAACGCCAGACGTGGAAAGCGTGTTCATCTAAGCGCCAATCGCGCATGCTTGAGCCCAAAGTGGGGACGTTTCGCAGGAGAAGCGAAGTCTTTCCTCGAGAAACCGTCGCGGCGTCGTAGCGAACGGACGTGCTTTGTAAGAGTGCGGACTTAGGGTGCGTTCGGGGAGACGCTATTAGCGCTACTGGCTGTTCGCGGAGCTCTATGATAGCGCTACCAAACGCTGTCGTGACGTCATTACTGGTAGTGTTATACGTCATAACTGCTCGCTACCAACGCTCTTCCTTCCGAGGTAGTGTATTAATAGCGTTAGCGTTTACAGGCTCTATGAACAGCGTAATAGTGAATGGTAGTGAATTGCGGCCCGGCGGCGTTTGAAGCAAAATAGTTTGGCGGCGGCAAAGTTCGCCGATAATTTTCTCTTTCAGCGGCGGCGGAATTGGCGGGTGATAATTTATCAGCGGCGACGGCGAACGGCGGCGTTAATACATTTTTTTAACAATTTTAACTTTTCATAAATAATATGAACAAAAATAGCACACAATAAATACTCAGCACTTGTTTTCAAAATACGATTACTTTATTAGCATTACTAACATCTTTTATTTCACAAAAAAAATAAAATTTATCTTAAAATGTTATTCCTGACCATAATACGTAACAAAAATAAAATGTAATTTACTGTATAACCATCAGATATCAGACTTCTTTCTCTCTTACTTATTAAACATTTTTTCACATATTAAGTTGTATAAATAATATGAATAATATAATTATACTTGGGTGCGTTCAGATTTCCCACCTGGTAGGTGATCGCTGGGTGACCGGGTGAGTTCGAATGAGTGGGCGGAGCTAGCGAGAAGCTCCCGAGTGGTTTATGGAATCTGAACGCACTCGACGCGCTCTATCTCTATTCTCTCGTCACTACCGGTACAAAATTGTATCTCTTCTCACGTAAGTTAACCTCATTTCTACATGTATAAAGCCGATTACAATAGCGTAAACGTAGTCATTAGTGGTTTGTAACATATCAGAATGTATTCAGAACGCACTTTTATATATCGATAAATACGCGCATTGCATATAGTTTACGTTACATTACGACGAAAATCATATGCTAAATACGCGCATTTATCGATAAAAGTGCGTTCTGAATACATTCTGAATATGTTACAACCATTTACGACTACATTTACGCTATTGTAGAATGGCCTTAAAATTGCTACATATATTTTACATTATTTGATATACATTTTACATATTTTGTATATGTATCTTAGGAGGCACAAATAAAAAGCAACGCAAAGCAAGTATCACAATTAGTGAAGCTATTACAGTCTGCATCGCTTATTGTTGCGAAACGAGCAGTGTGGGCCTTACGAAATATAGCCGGAGATGGACCATATGCTCAACCTCTTTTGCACGATTTAATTAAACCTGATACTCAGTAAGTGACATTGTATTTAAAACAACATCCTTTGACTACATTCGTTCTGTTTGTTTTTATGTTGTCAGTATTAAACAAAAATTCATTTTGTAATACTATATTTTCTTCTTTATTGCAAGAACGTAAAGATAATATTGAACTATGTTAGGGCTTGAGCAGAATGGTTGACTTATAATTTTAAGACAATGTTTTATGCTTTAATTCTTTGTTTTTCGTAACGCACAATACTGTCTTGTGTTCTCAAGACTCTCAAGTCTTAAACGTTGTTGACAGTTTCGTATACACGTTTAAGACTTGAGACACAAGACAGTATTATGCGTTACTAAAGAAAAAGATTTAAAACATAAGACAGTGTCTTAAAATTATAAGACAGTCATTCTGCTCAGGCCCTTAGTATAAAAGTTTAAAACATTTAAGGACGGTCTACAATACGTTGCAAACACCTCGTCGCCAGTCGCGAAGCGTGTTTGCGACTCATTGTAGACTGCTCTTTAGAGATATCCTTAACACACTGTTTACTTAATTAAATTATAAATAACTTAAAAAATAGAACATAAATTTAAAAAAGAATTATACGTTGTATCACAAATATATAACAATCATTGACAAACTAAACTTCTTATTGTATGAATGTACATAGAAAGTATTAAAATAATAATTATTAATAAGAAAACAAAGTTATATAGGAAAGTGCACATAATGTTTTAGTAAATACATATTAAGGAATTATTTATTATCCAGTTATTATAAATATTTTTATAACGAAAATCTCAAATATGATATCCATTTAAGAGAAATTAGTTATGATAAAAATTTAAAAATATTTTCAATAAACTACTTTTTCACAATATATTATTTCGTCTGATAATAGAGATCATAGTTTTTCTCACTTATTGGATCTGTTATTTAGGATAAGTTTATATTTAATTAAATATTTCTTGATCTTAAATTTCTCTTTTTATTCTTTATTTGTTAGAATCCGAATTAGTAATATATGCGTTTATCTTATTGTTAGCAGAAAACGCTATTTCAACATTTGTGTGATTCACTTAAGCGATCTAGTTTAAATTATTATTATTAATTGTTAATATATTTCAGAACGCACACTTAAAGATGTCAAGTTCGAATTTTGCTTTAGATGCCAAAAGGCATGAACTATATAAATCAGGAACTGTTGAAAACACAGCAATTTATCGACGAATGAAAAATGGCGTGTTGCCATCTATGGTATTCGCCAGTAAGTAACTGATTCCGTAAACACTTTATAAAGACTAATACATGGGTCTAGTGACATTGGTAGTGCGTATGTTTCGCACACAAAGGCGCTGCAATACTTGGTTTCCGCGTCCGTATGGCGCTGCGATACCTGACTTCCGCGTTCGTTACGGAAGATCGAGCTTGCGTAGCAACGATCGTCATTGTATCAATATCTTCCGTTCACGATCGTCTTTATATCCACATCTTTCGTCCACAAAAGTCGCGCGTATCGAGTCGTGTCGTGTATTTTACCCGTTTCTACTATTCTTTGTAAAAAGGATATTGAGTCGTCTCAAGTCATCCTCAATCGTAATTACAACGACAAATACATTAATACGGCAGCACGACGTAAGGAAAGGCGACTACCGACACTGAAAAAATATCGGCCATTGCCGTATATAAGGAAAAGGCATCCGCCATTACTAAAGAAGGAAGGACGATTGTAGAATACATTGTAGAATACATGGAAGTATATTTCCGAGGTTTCACACGAAAGGCAGTATTCCTCCTCTTTGGAGTCACTTTCACGTAAAGTTGAAAACACGCACAGGTAACTCTCGTTATTCAGAAGGGCGGTATTCTTCCTCTTTGGAGTCACTTTCACGTAAAGTGAAAGCACGCACAGGTAACTCTCGTTATTCGTAAGGGCGGTATTTCTCCTCTTTGGAGTCACTTTCACGTAAAGTGAAAGCTCGCACAGAACATTCGAGAGCTTTCTTTCTTATTGGATTTGGGATGTATTACAACCATTCTTGCGTTTCGGCAAGGCATTCAATCCAATATTATCTATCAATCGGTGGCCATTGTTTAAGACAAGGAAAATTCTTCTCATTTCACTTGAGTAATCAAGTATAAAAAGAATTTGGTTGCAACCACGCGTATTTAGTATATTCGCTTCTTTTCATTGTAAAATTACTTATGTTGTATAAAGATTGTAAAGATTCGTTAAGATATTAATTGAGAATTAACTCATCGAAACTGTAAAGTTAATATTTCGTAAAATAGTACATGTTCACGTTGTTTAATGTACTCTATTGCGATTCAATAGTGTATTCTCTCTTTATCGTAATTTGAATATCTCTAAGTTCATTTCGAAACAAATAATTATTTCAGAAACATTATCCAATAGTTAAACCATGTTATGCACGATTGATGATATCTATATGAATATGTGTCATGTTTATTATGGATTAATGCATTGAATTGCCAAAAGGAAAAAAGGGTATATTTATTGGTTAAAAACCACTTATTTTTTTTAACATTGATTTCTCTGAAATCTATTTTCTTCATTAGTAAGATACCAAATTAATTCATGCATTATTCCATTTCTTCTATATATATTAATTAGATTTTGAATTTATACTTGTATTATGTTCTATTTTGAAATGTTTTGCATTAATGGTCCTTTCACAAATATTTTTTGTTCTTCAAGGTTTTTCTCTTATGCGTTACAAATATTCAATGATTCTCAGTGCTTCTAATTTGTTTAAGTGAAATTGGTCTTGCGTAATTATTATATTGGAATTTATAAAAGAAATATCTCCAGCAAAAAATGTATATTTATTAAAGTGAACGGACTATTAATAATTGAGTTTCCTGATACTTAAACTATGTATTTCATTTATATGTGATTTATATTAATACCGCGTTATACTTTCAAAAGTTCTAAAAATTGTATTCAATCAATATATCAAAAGGTTACTTTTCAAACGAATTACACTAGTTGAGTTTTCTTAATAACCAGTACGATTTTACGTTCTTACTGGAGCGTGTACAGGAACCAATAATAAACCTGTTATACTGGATGGATCGTTATTTATTCGCGATAAAGTCAGTAAGTATTTATGACTTAAATTCACACGTACCACAGGAGATTAGGAATTTTTTTATTTTCTGCAATTATTTTTTAAATATTACTAGAGATATTAATATCCAGTTTTATCTATTACAAGAGACCCATAAAGAAATAGAAAAAAGACATAAAGAAATTTTGAGTTGTTATTGTGTAATATCAATATATAACGTTATTAATAAAATAATTTGTATCACATTTATTCATTTGGTGTATTTCAGAATGTCACATTTTCTTTGCTAAAACAATTTTTTTTATAAAGCTAATTTTGTGTGCATGTGTGTTTATAAACTAATAAGCATGATTTATTACAGCTGATGTTCTTATGATGATTCCTGACACATTAGAAACAAGGCAGTTCTTTAATCTTAGTACAGTCAGTAACAATTCAGGTATGTACATTTTTTAATAAATAGACTGTTGATTTTTTTTTGTTAACTTCTTTTCTATTAATACAATCATTCTCTTGTAGAAAGTTGTAATACTGGTATTGTTCCTTCAGTTTCATCTGATGCTGATGAAACTAGTACAGAAGAACTGATTAGATCCAATAATTTAGGTATATATTGAATTAACAGAAACTTGATTTATTTATTGTGTTTTTCTTTTACTGTCACTGTATAAACGTTTCATTGTAGATAAAGATACGTGTGATACACAGTCTCTTTCTTCATCGGATTCTGCACCTGTTAAGTGGACAGATGCCAATGCTGTGAGATCACTTATTTCCAAATGGAAGAACCACGAAAGTGATTTCAAAAATACTAAAATTAGAAATAGTAAGGTGTGGCAAATGATTGCAGATGATTTGAAAGAAGAAAATCCCTTGTGGAGCTTTAATGGTATTCAATGCGAAAACAAATTCAAAGACGTTAGAAAATCGTATACTAAAGTAAAAGACCACAATAACCAGAGTGGAGCAGAACTGAAAACATATAAATTTTACGAAGAGATGGAGGCTGTTTTGGGTGAAAAACCAATTGTGAAACCTATTTCAATATCATCAACATTAAAGAAGAGGGTATGTCCGCATCCGGAAAGAGCAGTATCACCATTTAGTTCTGACAGTGATGAAAAAGAAAATTCAAATCGGAAAAAAAGTAAAATAGCGAAAGAATTGGACAAATGGAGTGAACAACAAAGAACAGAAGCAAAAAAACGGGAGCAAGCTAGAATGCAGCGACATAAAGAGAAGATGGAAAGACAAGATAAAGCTATAGAAGTTTATAAAGAACAAATGGAAAAATTATTGGAAAAGCTGTAACAAGTTGAAACAGTCTATTCCTTTTTTTTCTTTTTTTCTGGTTAACAGATTTCTTTATAATGTAGAATTTCTCAAAAGTATTTATCTTTCAAAATGTTTTATTGGAACATAGATTTCCTTATACTGTAGTTTCATGCAATATTTGGCTGTGTTTTCATTACATATCTGTTCATAAAATATGTTGTTTCTTTACTAATTCATATTTTATATATTTAATGTAATGCCCTATCCAGATAAACTTGTATAGATGTATAACGTATAACCATTTACATAAAGGAAATTATCTACTTGCATTTTATGTATGTCTTTAAAATAGATGTGATTGTGGATAATTTTTTTTATACATATGGTTATGTAGCTATGCAAGTTTGTCTGGATGGGCCCTTTATATTTTGGAATAGCGATTAAAACTAATTTTTTTTGCCAAAGATAGCTTATGCTATATGATATGTAACATTAGATTACACACAGTCTATTCAATGTTTACTTTAGCTTAAAAATATTTAATGCGAATTTTTAGTTCTATAAGCGCGAGTGTTAAAAAGTTATTTTGTCTTTCTCATTACATACAACTATGTAATTTCTTATAACATTATTTTATATGTTATTACATTATATTTATTTTGTAAGGTATTCTTTAATATGTTTATCTCTTACTTGACATTCAATGTTCTTAAAATAAATATTTCATACTACAATTCTTAAATTAAAATGCTTTCATTCTTCTAGTCAGAAACCATTTTTTGTGATACGTAAGGTAATATTGTGATTGTGAAGTCATGGTGCTCCTTAGTTTTTTCATTATTGACAAGAAGATAGAAAGATGATAGAAAGATTAAAAATTATGATAGAAAGATTAAAAATTATAATTAGAAAGATGATAGAAAGATTAAAAATTATGATAAAAAGATTAAAAATTATAATTAAAAATCGACAATTTATTTTACTTTTTTATTTCTTTGTTTGTACATAATAATGTAATCCTAAAAAGTTTTAATTCAATAAATAACTAAAGATAAGAAATAACTAAAAGATGTTTTATTATCCATAAATTATTCCTATTAGCCTTAATTTTACAATGTTATCCTTATCCTTAAATTTTACAATATATCTTACTATTTTTATTATTATATCTATCTATCTTACAATATATTTATAACTTTTACATTACGAAATGGTACATTTTAGATGAGTTTTAGGCTGGTTAGATTAACTTCAACCAATGTAGATTAACTTTAATCTTAGCGGTTTAACTTAGTTCCTATCTCTTTTTATTTCTAAGAATTAAAATAAAATAATTTGTATTACATTCATTTATCTGGTACATATCAGAAAATCACATTTTCTTTGTTAAAATATAACAATTAGCTTTACAAAAAATTTTGTTTTAACAAAGAAAATGTGATTTTCTTAAATACACCAGATAAATGAATGTGATACTAATTATTTTATTCTAATTCTTGGGGAGAACATGATAACCGAGGCCCCTTGATTTGACTGTGGTTTCTGGTAGTATTTTTTACGCTGAACACAAAATTATATAGGTCTTATAGGGCTAACTGCTTTAGTTTTCGAGATATGCAGTATTAAAGCTCAAAATAAATATAATATAAATTTTTACTTGGTAATTGTATAGATGTGGGGACCACCTTGGATGACCTTGATATTTTAGTATGTTGTCAAGGTCACCAAAAAATTCTAGTTTATAAATAAAATATACTCTAGTTCACGCATATACTTTCCACGCGAACCGAGATTCACGCATACCCCCCCGTGCTTTCGGGGGAGGTGCGGTAGTCCCGAAATAGTTCACGCATACACTTTCCACGCGAACCGAAGTTCACGCACACCCCCCTCGTGCTTTCGGGGGAGGTGCGGTAGTCCCGAAATAGTTCACGCATATACTTTCCACGCGAACCGAGGTTCACGCACACACACCCCGTGCTTTCGGGGGAGGTGCGGTAGTCCCGAAATAGTTCACGCATATACTTTCCACGCGAACCGAGGTTCACGCACACCCTCCCCCCGTGCTTTCGGGGGAGGTGCGGTAGTCCCGAAATAGTTCACGCATATACTTTTCACGCGAACCAAGTTGTGTTTTGGTAAAGCATATAAAGTTATAGAAGTTGTGATTTTCTTTAAAGCAGGGCACACACACATGTGTGTATGTCCTGCTTTATAGAAGTTGTAATTTTTTTTAAAGCAGGGCACACACACGTATATATTAGTTATTTATGCCTTCTAATACTCAAAATAGCTTGTAGGTTTACTAATTACACACAATGGGGGGGGGGGGGGGGGGGGGGGGGCAAAGCCCCTCCTGCCCAACTCACACCGGTGATGTCGCCTTTAATCTAGACATTTACAAGACATTTATAAGTTATATTAATTTTGAGCTTTAATACTGCATATCTCGAAAACTAAAACAGTTAGCCCTATAAAACCTATATAATTTTTTGTTCAGCGTAAAAAATACTACCAGAAACCACAGTCAAATCAAGGGGCCCCGGTTATCGTGTTCGTGCCTAATTCTTCATCATAAAAATATAAAAAAAGTGTGCAAGTAGAAAATTGCACATTGTTTCCTCATAGTTTTTAAGTGTGTAAGTAGAAACTTGCACATTACTTTTTCAAATTTTTTAAGTATCTAAATTATAAATTTGCACATTGGTTAATCAACATTTTATTTCGCTCATAAAGCTACTATGAGGAAGCTTATTTCTTCTTTGATGCATTATTAGTGGATATTTATTAATTTGGCTTCC